CTTAGATCTGGCCCATGGGGCCACCCTGGAAACAGCGAAAGACTGGCCCGCGGGGCCTCTGCCAGTGAAAACAAAGTTCAGGAGGGCCACACAAGGCCCTGCCAAGCTCTGTTTTCACTGGTAGAGGGTTGCAGGAGGCTGTCGCAGCGGAAAAAGGAGCTAGTGAGGCCTGCAGGTAGCCCTCCTGAGCTCAGTTTTTGCTGGCAGACAGTTGCAGGAGGCCGTTGCAGGCGAAAACGGAGCTACAGAGCCCTCTTTCGTTGGCAGAACGCTTCGGCCACCATAGGCGCCCCCGATATGAGTGACATTGAGCTGGCCACGCCTACCCTGGCCACGCCTACCCTGGCCCCCTGTGGTCAAACACAATCCTGATGCGGCCCTCAATGGAAATCGAGTTTGAGACCCCCTGATCTAGAGTCCCTTTTTTTTATATCATGGTGACAAAAACTGGAGGCCTTCCCGTGGCGTATAAAGTGGTATTAAGACTTCACGGTGATCTTGATTCTTTATCCCTCTGTTTATGCAGCCTAGGACTGTGTTGGCCTTTTTGGCAGCCCCTGAATCAGATCTGAAGCGTTGCACAGCTATTTAATACAGCTATTAAAATGTGTTTGTCAGGGCCAAAGTGATAGATACACTGTTTGTTGTACACTATTACCAAGAAGTTTGTAAATATTTTTGTAGAGGAAATGTGTGATTGGTCGGGATTTAGTTCAGCAGGAATCGAAAAGTAGAGATGTGCAAACTTTTCAAGTTTGAACTCAAAATATTTCCTGCTTTACTGGAACAGTAAGAATAGGGCCCAACCTCATCAGAAGAATTCTAACTATTTTGGAAGGTGTTCCTGGTTGAAAGTATTGTGTTTTCAGCTTGAAACTGCTGTTTCCATGTTGGGACACTTCAGTAAGATTAATCAGTGTTACAGGAGATATTTAACCTAGAAATAAGGATACATTTTCTGACAGTGAGAACAATCAACCAATGAAACAAGTTGCCTTCAGAGGTTTTGGCTTCACTAGAAGCTTTCAAGAAGAGACTGGACAGCCATTTGTCAGAAATGGTATATAGGTCTCTCCTGCTTGAGCAGGGGGTTGGACTAGATGATCTACAAGGTCCCTTCGAACTCTTGTTGTTATTATTGCCTAAATAAAAGCAAATAAACAGAGAATGGAGGCGGGTGGGGGAAAGAGCCAAGATAGAGAAACACAAATAAGCATATATAGCAATCCATCTTAAATCTTGTGGATTCCCTGCCAAAGGCTTGATGCTAGATAACAAAGACTTTGCAATATTTAGACTGTATGAAAAACCTTTTATCAGTAAGTAGACAGTCAGCATAAAAATTACTTGAAGATCAGGAGATTGCTACTGGAAGGGGAAGAATGAAGTTTTGATGCAATGTTGTCTACAATCTTCAGTATAAAAGAACATGGGTTACAGGTTCTTCCTCTGATGTGTTACAAGGAGAAACACACTGAGGCCAGGGCAATTTGCAGGACAAGTAATCCTCTACTAGTTCACCAGCAGGCTGTGAGTTCTAGTCCCATTTTAGGCATGAAAGCTGCTGGGTGACTTTGGGCCAATCCCCAGGAGTCTGGGAGTTCTAGTCTTGCCTTAGGCATGAAAGCCAGGTGGGTGATTTTGGGCCTGTCACTGTCTCTCAGCCCAACCCACTTCACAGAGTTGCTGTTGTGGGGAACACAGGAGGATGAAGGAGTACTATATATGTTCTCTACCTGTAATAAAGGCGGGATAATAAATAAATAAAAAGCAAATTTAAGCCACTCATTAAACGGGAGTGACTCTACTTCCAGCAAGATCGGAAATGGGTCGAAAGAACTTGTTCTGACAAGGTCGGAATCGTTGCTTTGAAGTGGAGGTGTTTTGAATGCAAACTGTTTTGTACACCAGTACTAGTAAGAGTAAAATAACAGGTGAGATAGCAAAGATCTGAGAGCACTGTAGAAACCAAACTAAAGCCAGATGAAGTAATAATGTTATGAAATAACAAGCAGTTTCCTTTAATTAGATAATAAGCAGTTTGTAACACCTGTTTCTGAATTCTAATCCTTAATACCCTTGCGCAAAGAATGCACTGATGTATTTTCCCACCTATATTACTGAATAAAGGTTTCTGATATATAATGATTTTAATGTATGCTTCTGGTTACACAATTTCTGTGAATGTAATTCCTAGGAAACGTTTTATATCGTAGGAAGCACAATGACAATAAAGTAAACTGAACTAAACTAAAACTAATAAGGAAATTATATTCATAGGCTCTCATGTGTTGGCAGAAATCTGATATTCACTATTCTCTCACTGAATGACTTGGTTATAATTTTTGTGTTAAAGAGTCCTTTAATTGTAAACTCTGGCAATTGAACTTGCTACAAAATAAAGCTGGAACCTTAGCATAATTTTGATTTGCAGGGCCTTAAAGGCCTGGAAATTGTCTCTTACTTTATAGAAGGTGTGTGTGTAATAGAATAGAATAGAATAGAATAGAATAGAATAGAATAGGATAGGATAGGATAGGATAGGATAGGATAGGATAGGATAGGATAGGACAGGACAGGACAGGACAGGACAGGACAGAATAGAATATGGAGTGGAGTAGAGTGGAATGGAATGGAATGGAATTAGAATAGAATAGAATAGAATTCTTTATTGGTCAAGTGTGATTGGACACACAAGGAATTTGTCTTGGTGCAAATGCTCTCTGTATACATTCGTCAAGATACATTCGTCAAAAGTCAAGAATCATAAGGTACAACAATGATAATAATAGGGTATAATAAGCAATCAAATCATACTAGGAAACAGTCAATATTGGACTTATGAAAGATTACAGGTAGTCCTAATTTCTGTTGCTAACTGAGACAGTTGTTAAGTGAATTTTGCTCCATTTTATGACCTTTCTTGACACAGTTGTTAAGTGAATCACTGCAGTTGTTAATTTAGCAAAATGAACCTGGCTTCCCCATTGACTTTGCTTGTCAGAAGGTCGCAAAAGGGGGAATCACATGACCCCAGCACACAGTGACCGTCGTAAATATGACTCCGTTGTCAAGCGTCTGATTTTTGATCACATGACCATGGAGATGCTTCAATGGTCGCAAGTGAGAATAATCGTAAGTTGCTTTTTTCAGTGCTGTAGCTTTGAATGGTCACTGAATGAACTGTTGTAAGTTGAGAAATAGCTGTATATTTACTTCAAACATGTTCTTAATGGCAGGTTCAAGCAAGATCTAAGATGACTTTGGAACAGCTGTTTTGTTATTCAGGTTAGTCATTTATTCTCTGTATGAAGCGTCTTTTGATCATTTAATCAAAATCAATGGATGGATCACATATCAATCGACGGACAATTTCTTTTGGGTCATATCTCACTCAGTTTTTATGAAAATAATTCCAGATTAAACATAATAAGCAATAACGAGTGTCTCCAGGAACTGGAAATTGAAGTCTCTTTTTCCGTATTATTCTCTTGGGAGGTAAATAAATCTGTTTACAGTAGCTGCAAACTGAGGTTAAAATTTTACTACAGACTGAGGTAAAATTTTATTACAGACTGATCTGTTCTGATGCACCGGTGATCTTTTTGAGACTAATCGGCGTTGGCTATAAAAATATGCCGTCACCCTCTTTGCAAACATGCTGTGGTTGATCCATTGCTCAACTTGCAAATAATATGTGCATGCCAACACTGGGTATTTAGCAGAATCCCTTCTCAATATTTTTCCCCCTGACATGGATGCTAAATACGTATGAAACGGATACATTTAGTGGACACAGTCTCCCCATTCAGAAAATGGGCCTCTTTGCAAAAGAATAAACACGTGTGCTAAAGATGTTTTGAAAATGGTTGATCCCAAAGGTGTTTTTTTTCAGGAGGCAATTGGACTTCCTGGTTTTTTCCTTTTGAAGATGTTTCCCTGCTCATCCAAGAAGCTTCTTCAGCTCTGACAAGACAGTGGGAAATGGAAGGATTTATATTCCTTGCAGACAGCTGGTCATTTGCATCCTTTTTTGAGGGTCGTTGAAGCACCTGGAGGTTTATCTGTGTCCTCAGGGTCACCTGAGTAGTGCAAATGGTTCTTGTAGTCTGCAATTTTTTTTCCCTCTGGAAATCCCTTCCTACTCCCACATCATTCAAAGGGTACTCATCCCAAATTATAAGGCTAAAAGGTTGATCTAAAGCATGCATATATCTCTTTGTGCCTGGAGGTGGGTTAGACCAGCTCGGCTTAAGTAGAGATGCTGAGGACGCAATCGGCTGAGTTTTTTTCTCCAGCATCTATGAAGCATCTCGGGAATTGCTTGCCGTACAGCGAGAGCAAGCTGGTCACATGAGTCTGAATTTTCATTTTAGTTCATTAGTCAGCCATTTTGGTCAACACCCTCTTTAACTGCGCACAATCCAATCCTATTATCTTTCTGAATCTGGGTTGATCGGAAGGGGGCAAGAGAGAGAGAAAGAGAGAGAGAGAGAGAGAGAGCAGCTGTAGATCTCAGTGGATCCAGGGTATCTTTTCTTCTCTTTGTGGTTATTGTTCTTTGTTTTGCCTTTTTTTTTTTTTTTAAAGACAAGGCTTTTTCTGAGATAGCCAAGAGGGCTGATATATATTTTTTTTCCTCCACCCCCCCTGCTCTCCTGATGCAGAGGCCGTGCGCGAGGGGGTTATTCAGGAATAATAGCTCCTAGTCACATCGAGCGCGCGTGCAGGGCTGTGCAGCTTTGCAGAAGAAAACCAGAGGAAGGAAAACAGACGAGAAAGGGCCCTCTTTTTTCCCCCTTCCCCTCTGCTTTGCTTTCCTCAAAGTAGTGCATTGTCTGATCTCCAGCAAATCTTTCCCGGGCCGGCCACCAGCGATAGAATTTTTTTTTTTTTTCTCTTCGAGGGGAAGGCTTTTTTTTTTCTTTCCTCCCCCTTCTCCTTTTTATGGTTATTTTTTTTTAATTTTCGCTTGGTTTTATTTTTATTTTCCCCACATCGGCTTTATTGTTGTATCAGCTGAGTCATCATGTCCGCTCTGACGCCTCAAAGCGATACGCCGACTCCCACCACAGACAAGATCACCCAAGCTGCCATGGAAACCATCTATTTGTGCAAATTCCGGGTGTCGATGGATGGAGAATGGCTCTGTTTGAGAGAACTGGATGACATCTCTCTTACGCCTGACCCCGAACCGAGCCAAGAAGGTACGGTTTGCCCGAGCTGACAGGCAACCCTAGGTTGTTGCGGTACAAAGCGGTATTAGGGTTTGTGATGTGTGCATTCCCACCGCCAAACAAAGCCGTTTTACTGTACGTGGAATGACTTATTTCATTTAAATGTGGTCCATTATGTGGACTCTGATTTAAAAACAACAACAACAGCCCCTTTGTGGAAAACAGAAGGGGTGGTTAAAAGTGAAGGTCAACAGCCGGGAAAAATGGTTGGATTATTCTGTTTTTCTAGGCACCTGCGCTCTTTGCAGCAAGATCTAGCAGAATAACCTGAAGCTGTGCCTTCTCTTCTGCGCTGGAAGGAAAATTCATCTTGATATCTAAATCTCAGCCGTCTAAACTGCCACTATTATTATTTTTAGAAAAAGGGGTTCATTTTTTTTATAGAGAACAGTGCCCAAAAATAATGGGGTTAGGTGCAACATTATTAATTAATGTGATGTAATGGGGTTAGCTGTAATAATGAGGTTAGGGAATTGGAGGCTAAAACAAAAGAATGGTTGCAGGAATTGGGTATGTCTAGTTTGATGAAAAGAAGGACTAGGGGTGACATGATAGCAGTGTTCCAATATCTAAGGGGTTGCCACAAAGAAGAGGGAGTCAAGCTATTCTCCCAAAAACCTAAAGGCAGGACAAGAAACAATGGATGGAAACTAATCAAGGAGAGAAGCAACCTAGAACTAAGGAGGAATTTCCTGACAGAACAATTCATCAGTGGAACAGCTTGCCTTCAGAAGTTGTGGGTGCTCCATCAGTGGACGTTTTTAAGGAGAGATTGGACAACCTTTTGTCTGAAATGGTGTAGGGTTTCCTGCCTAGGCAGAGGGTTGGACTAGAAGACCTCCAAGGTCCCTTCCAATTCCTTTATTGTGCTGTAGCAGTTGATCTAAAAAAACCAATGCCACTTATGGGTTATGAAAGGAATGATATGGTTTTAAAGTTTAGATGTCGTAAATAGATAATGTGTCATTTGGGACTTTTTAGAGATACTTCATGGTGGTCTATTTTGACGGGAGAGGAGATAAGTAGGAAATTATATGGGGTTATAGGATTATTTATCGTTTGGCAAGGAGATGCAGGAAATAGAATTGTAAACAGTAAAGGGTATTATTTAATCTCTAGTTTCAAGGTTTCATTTTAAAAGCAGGAAGCAGCCGGTGAAGGTGATTTGAATTTAGTTCCCTCTTTAAATCTCTCGTGACTGCTTTTTATCTGAACATTTTCCTTGAAGCAAAGTGAAAGCTTCTAGGGTTGTTGTTTTTTTTTGCAATATCATGCCCCAGTGTAATGGTCACAGGTGTGGAAGCCATCTGCTGTTTGACAGTTATCACAATGGGCAACCTTGTGTTTGATACCTGAGCCCATTTCAAGGCGAGGATGATCTCCTGTATAAAATCCAAAGTTACCTCAGGCTGTTTCTCATTCCTTACTTTCACAGAGAGTAGCCAGTTCATTTTCTTTATTGATTTGCATCCCTGACCCAGACATATGAAGCACAGGTTCTCTGCTCAGTTACCATCTGATGCAGCTTTCCCAATGGTGCTTTTTCAAGAGGCAACTGGACTTTCTTTGTTTTTCCTTGAAGATGTTTTGCTTCTCATCCAAGAAGCTTCTTCAGTTCTGACTGAATTTCAGAGAATGGAAGGATTTATATTCCTTGTGGTCATCTGGTCGTTAGCCCTCTCTCTGAAAGTCATCGAGGCCACTTGGAGCTTTATCTGTAATCTCAGGGTCACCTGAATAGAGGTAGTCCTTGACTTATGACCACAATGGAGCTCAACATTTCTGTTGCTAAGGGAAACATACGCTAAGTGAATTTTGCCTCATTTTATGTCTTACCACAGTTGCTAAGGGAATCCAGTTAAGTTAGTAACACCGTTGTTAAGTGAATCTGGCTTCCCCACTGTCAGAAGGTCGCAAAAATGGGAATCACATGACCCCGGGACACTTGCAACAGTCATAAGTGTGAATCAGTTGCCAAGCGTCCAAATTTTGATCACATGGTCATGGGGAAAGTTGCAACGGTTGTAAGTGTGAAAGAGAGTTGTAAGTCACTTTTTTTTCAGTGCCGTGGTAATTTTGAATGCTCACTAAATGAATCGTTGTAAGTCAAGGATTACCTGTACTGCGAACAGGTGTGGAACTTTCTTGGGGCTGCTGAAAGGACTCTGTTGTGGATTGGACAATGTCGTATCCCTCCCTTTCTGTTGAGAGAGTGGGCTGTTCGATTTTGACACAGATGGCCTCTTTGACCCCTCTTTCAAACCAGCAGTCCAAAATGTGGACTTTGCTCTCTTCAAAAAGAGTGGCCTTTGTCTTCTAAATGCAGATAGATTCGCTGAATTTAAATTGAACTGAAAAAAACACCTTTGGGACAATCGTAACCGAGAATCTCCATAGACACTTAAATGACTTTGTTTTTCTCATCCCTGCTTCTAGCTGAGAACATTTCTAGATGGTTTTGATCCATCGTATAGTGGCTGTAAATTACAGGTTCCTGATAAGAATGCAGCATCCTATTTTCCTTGGGGAAATTTCACACTATAGGAAATCTAATTTTACCGTAAGGCCTCCCTGTTATGCCCTTATAGCATTCCCAGACACTTCCCTATATTTGAGACCCCAGGAAAGGGTTATTCAGTTCTTAACCTGGAAGGCAGATAAGAGGAAGTGGAAGGTAACGGAATAAAAATGAGGAAATGGTTTTAATCTATTGATTTATTTTGCAGGAGATTATCCTGTGCTTGATTTCTTTTTCATTCTTCATTGTTCTATCATCCCATTGTAATTTTAAACCATTTTTACCTGCAGATGTTGAAAAGGATGTACAGGTAGTCCTTGACTTATGACCACAATTCAGCCCTAAAATTTCTGTTGCTAAGTGAAATATTTGTGAAGTGAGTTTTGTCCCATTTTACGACTTTTCTTGCCACAGTTTAGAATAGAATAGAATAGAAGATTGGAATGGAAGAGGAGAGGAGAGGAGAGGAGAAGAGAGAATAGAATAAATGGAATGGAATAGAATAGAATACAGTGTGTGTGTGTGTGTGTGTGTGTGTGTGTGTGTGTGTGTGTGTATAGACAGAGAGAGAGAATGAGAATATATATATTTATATATTTATATTTATATTTATATTTATATTTATATTTATATTTATATTTATATTTATATTTATATGTATGTATGTATGTATGGCATTCAGCTTTGCCTGATGATGGCAGATGAGATTCTGCCGAAATGTCGCTACAACTTTAAAAGCACAACTACTATGACGTGGGAAAATACCCGAACAAAGCTGAATGCCATACATGTGAGTACCCGCGAAAACTTAAGAAAATATTATATATATGTGTGTGTGTGTGTGTGTGTAAAAATAATAAAAACTTTTTTGTCACTTTGAATGTACACTAATTGGCATACATTAAAGTGAAATTTTGTTGCATACAGCTCTCAAAAAAGGTCACCACCTCCAATATACACTACATAATATAACAGAATAAATAAATAAACCATGCATATATCCACAGTTGTTCAGTGAATTGCTGAAGTTGTTAAATTAATAATACAGTTGTTAAGTGAATCTGGCTTCCCCATTGACTTTGCTTGCCAGAAGGTCACAAAAGATGAACACACAGACCCCATATCATAAATATGACTCAGTTCCCAGCAACTGAATTCTCATCATATGGCCACGGAGGTGTTCCAAGGTCATAAGTGTGAGAAATGGTCATAAGTTACTCTTTTCAGTTCCGTTGTAACTTTGAACGGACCCTAAACAAACTTGTAAATCAAGGACTACCTTTATTTAAGGTGCCACTTCCTGTTCATCTCCGATCTCCAGCATGGATGCTTTTTTTAAAGGGTTTGTTTATACAAATTTCTTCGAGATAGGACCTGGTATTCCTTAATTTCTAATAAGTGTAGCATAAGTCCATTGTAAGTTTGAACAGTTTGTTAAGTGACTGACTGGTCATTAAACAAGGACTACCTATGTAGACTTTGCTCAGCAATGAAACATTGAAGGACCCTCACTGTATTATTTTCCAATTTTCTTCCACAAGAAAATCACACTCTTCATTATTTAGGTGGTAGAAAGCCCTATGCCCCTCTGAGTTTTAAATTATTTACCACGGTGTGATTATCAGTAAAGGCAACTAAGAGGTAACAATAAGTTCACAGCATTTCTAATGCAGCCAGCATAGGAAGGTCCCTTATGGAAAACATTGCAAGATGGAAAATCAAAGGCTATTTTAAACAGCGCAATTTATCTAATATCAATTCACTATTTCCAGGATTTATTTCCTCCTACCCAAACAGTTTATTTTTTAAAATCTTTTTATGGACTGCCAAGCTTGTAACCTTGGGGCCATTCCTTAAAAAAAAAAAAAAAAAGAACGTACTGTAGAAGTACTTTGGGTTTACCTAGGCCAAAGGATTTCAACTTTTTAACCCTTAACAAAATATTATTGCTCGTTGTGCATTTCGGAATATCATCGCAAACGACGTTGCCTCGCTTTCTGAATTGCTTGAGATATATATATATATATATATATATTATTTATTTATTTATTTGATTTATGTGCATCTAGAAGCAACTCTGGGAAGCTTACAAACCACAAACTGGTAGATATTAAAAGGATAAAACAATAAATAACAATGGTAATAAGTACAGTTAAAAGAGCACAAAGTACAGGTTGTCCTCTGCTTGCAACCACAATTGAGCTGAAAATTTCCGTTGCTAAGAAACCCAGTTAATAAGTGGATTTTGCCTCATTTTATGGCCTTTCCTGCCACTGTTGTTAAGTGAATCTCTCCAGTTGTTAAGTTAGTAACAACAGTTGTTAAGGGAATCGGGCTTCCCCGTTAACTTTGCTTGTCAGAAGTTGATCCTGCGACCCTGTGACCGTCGTAAGTATGAGTCAGTTGCCGAATCTCTGAATTTTGATCACGTGACTGTGGGGATGCTCCAACG